TGCCACCCTCCGCGCCGGTCTTTGTCATGCTGTCGGACTCCTCGCCTACTTCGAGCACCGTCGCCGCGCTCCTAACCTAGTCACCACTGCCACCAGGGGCGGAGCTGGAGGAAATGCTACCCTGATGCACCACTTTAACATGGTGTAAAATTTCAAGTAACGACATACTAAATAGAAGTGTGATTTTATAACTTATAGCTGACATAATAGAAGACTGATTAAATACAAAACATAGCCGTCAAATGCTTAGAAAAACAAGGAAACAATGAATAAAATTACTTGAAAATGATGTATTCCATTTCGAATCTCCAAAATACGCCATCAGATACTAAGTTTTAATATCCTACAATATAACAAGAATAGAATTAAATTTTTCAGTGGAACAAAGAAGAATGGTGAAATGAAAATATTTAAGTAGCTAAATTCAAGCCGGGCTCTTAATTCTTGAAACCAATATTTTTAGTCCCAAACTCTCAAATATTTAAAAATTATTTTCTCAAGCTGACAATGTTCATTAGCCAAGTACTTCCTTCTTACCGAATATCTCAAATTAGGATGTTCTGTTTTATCAATTTCCTTTTGCCCTTATCGAAATGGATCTCCTCTTCCAGATTCAATTCTTTCGGAGATCTTGTGATAATGCTTTACTTTTGAATAAGAACATGTCCAAGGTATATGTAAATTTGACTAGCAAATTCCACGTGGGACATGAAAAATTTGACAACTACAAATTCCAATGCCTATGTTCGGCCAGAACCCATTGATTTAAATTGAGTCCTAGCAGCCAAATGTGGGATGCCCAGAACATTTACTATGCAAAGCAAAACGAAAGGAGAGATGTATATATATGCCTTGCAGTGAATATATCCTTTGCTTTTTTTTGGAATCGATTGATTGCAAATTCATAGAAAAAACTACAAGGATTGAGAATAATTATTGAAAAGAATTAGACAAGAGGCAAGGGCTTTACCCAGACAGAACTAGAATTGGCTGCAATCTGAAGTGTAGACGAACGATTGGACAAAGTAGATCACGTTCTTGCCGAGATGGATTCACGAAGCCGGCGTAGTCGCGTCGATCGGCACGGCACTCCTGCGCATGGCGTCGCCTCGATCGGCCGCTCCCACTTGGCGGCGGGGAGTGGGGATTGGAAACCGCTGCGTGGCCCAATTGTGGGCTGTGGGCTGTGTGGGTTGCGGACGTGGACGACGCATGTGCGGGCGTAGGCCGTCATGCGGCTGCGATCGTGGACCCTGATGCACCGCTTCATCTCAACCCTGATGCCCAAGCCTTTTTCAGATGACACGTACTAGTAAATATGAAATTGGACCCGTATTCCTGTGCCTCGGGGTCGGCCCATTGAGCTCCGCCCCTGACTGCCACCGCTCTTCTTCGGCCGCCGCCGCCTTTAACGTTGTAGCCACTACCGCCGCCCATCCACCGCCTTCATGTTCCTCCGGTACCAGCCTGTCGCCAGCGTCGCCGTCATCTACCTCGACCACGGCTACACACTCGGCCGCATTGACAAACGGCACAAAGGGCTACTGCCTAGCTTGAGCAACCTCGTCGGTTTCCACTCCAGCCATGATTTCCGTGATTCATCGACTGTTACGACCGTGTGGGTGTGTCCGTCGGCTTGCCTTCGGATTCTTCTACAATCTCACCATTTGCGCCGCTACTGTTGTGACTGCGGGGGATGTTGAGTATATGATTATTAGGAAGTATAGGATGGACTAGGATTTGGTCCTGCCTTGGATTGTACTCCAAGTAAATCATTGTACTATGCCCACCAGGCTCAAACAATTCAATCAACTATTCCACCAATTGCTGCAGGCGCCGACGCTTGATACTCCATACATTGAAATCCACATGTTGCTCGTGCATTTGAATAGGAATGACCCTGCAACCACTCTTCATTGATTGATTGTTTGATGAACTGATATAAAAATGAATCAACGTACATCGGCATAAGCAAGGAGTGGCCTTCCTCTCTTGTCGCATCCTTTTTGTCTCTCCTTTTGTATTGCCAAGACTTGTTATATTAGAAGAATCTTCATAAGCGCGCGCTGATATATATAGTTCAAGTTGGCCATCCACTTGCAATGCGGAATATATATTTTGCTGGTAGATCGATGGATGCATTCTACAGGGGCAGGTGTACCTTTCACAATAATTTGGGCATCGACTAGCTGCCGGCCAGCCCAGCTTGTCCTTTCCTTTGTCCCGTGAGCAGTAAGTAGTTAATAACTTTTTCTTCGAAAAGAAGAATAACCCCAGCCTCTTGCTTCCGGACGACGCACACAACCATATATTATAAAGAATGCAAAACTCAGCAGCCCAACAACATTGATTAAAAAATAATGCTAGAAGAAAACCCGAGCATGCCTCGCGACCATAACTCCACAACTACAAACCTTATGCTACAAGACAACATTAAAACCAAAAATACACAAGTCTTACACTAAACCTTCCAGAAGTAATCACCGCACGTGCGACCATGATTGCGAGTCCAACAAAATGTTGAACTCCGGATTTTCATCCCCAAAGCCAAAGCTTCAATCCATCACCTTTAGCAAGGTCACGACGCGGGCGCGCGTCAACATAGATAGATTAGACATCTTGTGTTTCCACCGGAGTGCATAAAGTTATCGTTGAAGCCGTCTGTTCAATCATCCCTAAGACGGCTATCGCCGCCTCGATAAGTGGATACCTCTAGAGAAGACAACAGAACGTTAAGCGTCTCGTAACGCCTGCCTCTCGCCACTGTTGCACTACCTTCGATCCAACATCAGCAGCTAGACATGACACCTCTGCCAGAGCCACCGTGCAGCAAGTGCCTATAACAGGCATGACTTGACGCATCCGCATGAGATGTCGTGTGTAGCATCCACCGGCGGCGCATCAGAAGGAGGCTTCACGAGTCGGCGACAAGCACCGCCCGATGACTCCGAAAACGGTGCATATGTCACCTGTCGAGGTGCATCAAACCCGGCCTATTGGCCGAAGAGGCGTCCCATTACCGCCGCCAGCCTCATTGAGGCCGTGACCACCGCGAGACCTAGGCCCTGCATCATGCACGTGACCACGGAGGCCTCTGCCATCGAAGAAGCCGGGCCACCGCCGCATCACTGAACTCCTGCGATGCCATCGACGACGCCACAACAAGGAAGGCCGGAACGCTGCTACCAGATCGGCTGTGGGCTATTGTGTTGCCACACAACAACAACCATCAACAGCCACCACCTTCCCGCCGCAAGTCACTCCAGATCGACTCCAACGGACCGCCAAAACAAAGAAAACGAGGTTGCCGCAACCTCCGAACCGCCGCCGCTGGTCACTCTGACGGAGAAGCATCTCCATCGCTTGATACGAAGAGATTTGGGTTTTCCCTAGGAGTTGCCGCACCCACCGCCACCACATCAGGCCTGGCCTATCCAGATCGCTGCCGGACAAGATCAACTCAAAGGAAGCCACTCAGCCACCGAAGGCAGCCCACCGCCACTGCCATAGCTAATCCCGCCGCCGAATTGGCCCGCATCCGTGCACACGCCCGCGCCACGGTCACCGCGCCTCCTCCATGGATCTGGGCAGGGGCCCACCACTGAACAAGAGGGTTTCAGGGAAGCACGCAGGAAGACTGGTGCACAACCACCGCCCTCCCACCACCACCCGGTCTAGCAACACTGTCAGAGGAGCACCATGTCGTCCTGCCGCCGCTCGAGTATTTTGCCTGAGGACGAGCCGAACCACGGTGCCAGAGGCCCTGCCCCCACCGGATCTGCACGAGCTTAGCCCTGCCGAGTCCAAATGGCGGCAGCGAGGGGAGGGAAGGATGCAAGGGGAACGTTGCCGTAGGAGATCGTGCCGCCGCCCAAGTCGCCCTGTGATGCCATCGCCGACCATGGCATCTAGCCGAGTGGTTTTCACCCAGATTTGTTCGAAGTACCTCCATCAAGTCTTGTGTACGGATCACCGCCATCTGTACCGGGGACTGGAAATATGATCCAGGCCGCCGCTGCCTGACCAGCAGCCGCGCCATGCGAGCAGCAGGGCCGCCCGCAAGCCCCAGCTGCGCCACCGAAGAGCCCTACACCAGACTCCGCCACCGGCCCAGGAGAGGACGACGCCACGTACGCCCAGCAGCCACCGCCGCCAGCCTATGTCGTCGCGCCGCCATACTCGGGTAGAGGAGAAGCCCCGCCCGCCGCCTAGGCCGAGCAGGCTTTGCCCGGCGGCGGCGAGGAGGGGCGTAGGAGGAAGGAGGGGCAAGGGGCGGCAGATCAGGCCTCTCCCCGGCCGTCCGCGGGGACAGCGCGAGGACAGGAGGGAGGAGGGCCCAACTACAAGTGGTTATACACCGATACATGCATGCATGAATCTGACCAACAATCCGTGACTCCCTACATAACTAATCCATTCCTGGCTCAAAAAAAAAAAACTAATCCATTCCTAATTAATCAATTTTATCTTTTTAACCATATTCTGTACTAGCTAGCAGCATCACACGTAGGAGTAGGACTAGCGCTTGCAAAGACAGGCCTAAATGAATTTGTCATAATTTAATTTTTTGGAAGGGGCCCGTTAAACAACTTCCAAAGTGCTTCCCTTTTGTCTACATAAACGAAGCTCCGCCCACTGCCGCTTGCACAACAAGAGCAATACCGAAAGAAAATCCACCTATCCATCCATCTCGTCTCTACAATTGATTGAAGGTAATTTTGTGGCCACGCCGCTGAGATCCACAGTCTTATATATTTAGATCTCTATGTATAAGTATTGCTCAACTTTCTGAGAATTAACCAATCTGTGATTGCATCGTTGGGACTAAACCAATTCCAATCGCTTGTCTCCACTGAATGAATCGAGATTTTCATATTTTTTTTCATAAGTGACATTTCATTCAGTTTCAAGCAAGCATGGGCTTATTGTTGACCATCATAAAAGAAGTAATTTTGTTTGCACGTTATTTTCTGTGTGGCAGCAAAAACGAGCTCCTTGCAATGGCGGGGGTTCTTGATGTCTTGGCATCCTACGTGACCAACATGCTCACCGAGATGGCCAAAGAAGAGGTGGCCATGTTGATCGGTGTCTCAGGCGAGATTGACGATTTAGACGTCAAACTTAGGGACCTGAAGAACTTCATTGCAGACGCCGATAGAAGAAACATCACCGATGAAAGCGTGCAAGGGTGGGTGGATGAACTGAAGCTTGCCATGTACGACGTCACCGACATCCTCGACCTCTGCCAGCTCAAGGTCATGGAGCAAGGTCCGCCCAAGAACATGGGCTGCCTTAACCCACTCTTCTTCTGCATGGGAAATCCCCTCCATGCCCACGACATCGGCACCCGCATTAAGACGCTCAACCAAAAGCTTGATGACATCTGCAAGCGGGGAGATAAATTTAAATTCATCAAGTTAGAAGCCTACCAGGATCAAAAGACGACTCGATCTCTTGCCACTGACCGCAAAACTGATTCATTGATGGAGCGGTCAGGTGCGGTTGGCGAGAAGATCAAGGAGGACACAAAAGCACTGGTGGAGGTGCTTACAAAGGAGGCGGCTGGTGACCAGAGTGATTGCCTCATGGTGATTGCCATCGTTGGTGTCGGCGGGATTGGCAAGACCACTCTCAGCAAGAAGGTCTTCAATGATGAGGCTATCAAATGCAATTTCACTAAGAAGATATGGCTTAGCATCACACGAGATTTCAATGATATTGAGCTATTGAGTACAGCCATCACTGCCGCTGGTGGGGATCTGCCTGGAGGAGGTGCGGCTCGAGACAAGGCCCTACTTGTCGTAGCTCTGAGGAATGCCATCCGGGACAAGAAGTTCTTTCTTGTACTAGATGACATGTGGGGTGTCGACGAATGGGATAAGCTGCTGATGACTCCGTTTAGCTACGGCGGCCCAGGTAGCAGAGTCCTCATCACCACAAGACATGACACGGTTGCCCGAGGGGTGAAAGCCGTGCATCCCTACCATCATGTTGACATATTATGTCCAAAAGATGCTTGGTCATTGCTCAAGAGGCAGGTATGTTAATTTTAACTAGAGTTAACAGTAATGACATTATATGTGGTCGCTAGTGGGACTTGCCGTACTTGCAAGATAATTTCAGTACATACTGCCTTAGTTCCATCTCCATATTATTTCACAAGGGAAAATAATGATTTACAATTACAACATAACATGATTACAGCTTTAAACAATTAACTAACTAGTGGACAATTCTATCCTTGTGTTGTTGACAATTTGATTTAGGTAGTACACTGGCTGCCATTTGTTCAGTATTCTTTTTGGTGATCTAGCTTAATTGTAATTCAAGCAACAACTGTAGCCACTTTCTCGAAACTTTCTAATGTGTTATTAAGTAGCAAGAAAATTAAGTGCATTAACTGTATGTTCACACTACTTGTAGATACTTACGAGCGAGAGAAATGAACCCGGGATCGAAATGCTAAAGGATATTGGAATGCAAATTCTAGAAAAATGTGGCGGTTTACCGCTAGCTATAAAAGTGATGGGAGGACTATTATGTCAGAAGAAGAAAGAACGACGTGAATGGGAAAATATCCTGAATGATACTATATGGTCAGACTCTCAAATGCCCGAAGAGTTAAATTATGCAGTATATCTTAGCTACGAGGACTTGTCCCCTTGTTTAAAACAATGCTTTCTGCACTTCTCTGTTAAGCCTAAAAGGATAGTTTTCCAAGACATGAAATTTGTCAGCATGTGGATTGCTGAAGGATTTATTCATGGGAACTCGGATAGATTGGAAGAAGTAGGAATTGAGTATCATAAGGAGCTGATATCAAGGAACCTAATAGAGCCAGACACATCAATTATCGGCCAATATGTTTGCAACATGCATGATGTTGTTCGTTCATTTGCTCAATTTGTTGCTAGAAATGAAGCACTAGTAGCTCATGACCATGAAACTGTTAATAGTAAACTTAATCTGCAAAGGTTCCTTAGATTGTCCATAGAAACCAAAGGAATTGAATCAGAAGAATTAGAGTGGAGATGCTTACAAAAGCAGGAATCACTAAGAATGTTGATATTGAAAGGATGTGTCAAGATTCAGCCCACTGATTCATTGATTAGTTTTCCAAATCTACGGGTTCTGCATATAGAATCCACAAATTTTGTTGTATTAGTTGGATCTATGCATCAGCTCAAACACTTGAGGTATTTTGCAGTAAAAAACTGTGATGACATAAAAACCCTGCCAGAGAACATTCAGAACATGAAATTCCTACAACACATTAGCCTTGAAGGTTGTAAGAATTTCGTGAAACTTCCCGATAGCATTGTAAAGTTAAGAGAGCTGAGATTCCTTGACCTAGATAAGACATGTGTAAATAGTGTGCCCAGGGGGTTCTGTGCTCTCACGAATTTGAGGACACTGTTTGGATTTTCAGCCCAAGTGGATGGTGATTGGTGTAGTTTGGAAGAGCTGGGGCCTCTTTCCCAGCTTAGATGCATTGGCTTAGTGAGTCTACAGAATGTATCTGATGCCACTTTTGCCACAGAGGTTAGACTTGGTGAAAAGTTGTATCTTTCCATTATGGGCTTAGATTGCACCAGTTTACTAGGCGATGATGGACTAGTCAGGGATGAAGTCTCTGAGAAGGACCAACAAGTAATAGAGGAGGTGTTTGGTGAGCTCTGTCCTCCTCCTTCCATTGAAGATATTCGCATC